CTTAAGAGTCGGGATACAGATGCGAATATATCTTCTAAAACTACTTGGCATAGGATAAATAGAGATTACTCTATATGAGGTTCTAGGTTTCAAGGGCAGATAAATTATATGGTCCTAGGATAATACCAATATTCAGAACCTACTAAAGGAAAAACTGTTTATCCCATGCCCCTTTATATTCAATGGCTTGATTTTTCCAGCGCACTTGGCACTTAAATATTTAAGATAATGAGAACTGAGTCTAACGTGAAGCGGGAAGATACATCCGCCTGAATATGGATTATGTTGGAGGTTTTTGGATACAGGGTTTATCCTCAGGGAAATATGTGTATTTCCCAATGGACCGCAGGGACCGAGGGATATATACAGGGTGTCCGGAAAGTAAAGATACAAATACTCTAATTTTAAGAGATTTAGGTTTTGTAGAATGAAATTGCTACAGATTGTAGAGGAACATCATTACAATATATCTACCAACTTTCATCACATATAGTCTAAACATGTTAAAGTTACGGTTGTCATGGTTACGGTGGTGAGGGGTATGTGGAGCAGTTCCAGAACATCGCTAAAATGTGAAAAATTGCTAAATATAACCATTTGAAACAGTGTTTTCTATTGTATTTTCTATCAATGTTTTGCTTTGTTCATTATTGAATTATTGTTGCCATAGTGTTTTCTTTTGTATAATGATGTCATTGATACATAGATCAAAATTCTGTTTTGTCACTAACCAGTATCAAAGAAATATTATACAAGTGCTTAGAAAAACGGTACACGGATTAATAGAAAAGACAACAATCACGGACCTGAAGTGCCACAATTCACCAATTTACAAAGCAAATAAAACAAATCTTACGATGGAGTGTCTTGACCTTAAACCACTTTGTACAATGCCCCATATTCATCTGATATTAGTCCCCTTTAGATTTCTTAATGTACACCTGAAAGCAATATTTGTAAGAAGAATGAGGAATAAATTTTAAAAAAAGTGAGACTCAGTTGGAAAACAATGTTATCATCAATCTGAGAGATTGAAAGCAGCAGTTCTTGAATCGTTGGTTAAGATGCACCACAAATGTATAGATAATGGCGGGAATGATAAAGTGATCAAATAATGTTACAGTACTAATTCTTATGCTGTTGTGGTACAAAATTTGATATATAATAGGAACAGAGGGTGGAGTTCCTAGATGATATGAGCAGAAAAAAAGATTTATAAAACACAATTGTGCCGTTGCTCCACATACCCCCGACTTCCGTTACCATAACAACCATATTTTTTTCATTTTTAAACTAAATGTCATGACAGTTGCAGGATATATTCCTATCATGTTATTCTACAATCTGTAGAAATTTCATCTCACAACAGGCAAATCTGTTGAAATTAGAGCATTTGTATCTTTACTTTCCGGACACCCTATATATATATTTCCAGCTGTATCCAACTTGCTCTGGATAATATTAATCAGCTTTTACCAACCTATTTTTTACCTCAAATGCGTCGTAGAATGGGATAAATGTTGGTATACAATAAATATTTTAATTAAAAGTGTCCCAAGAAGCGATGGAACGATGACCTGATCGCATAGTTGGGCAATATTCTAACCATTGGAATTCACAACCGAAGGTAAGTTGGACATGTAACGGTTTGTCGGAGAGGTTCTAAGAGAAGATTTGAAACTTTAGATCCTTTTAATAATAGATGTAACACACATGAATAAAGATTCCTGAATGATGTTCATACTATTGCCCCGAACCGGTCCGTCTTCTCGCTGCAAGCAGGAGGAAATTCTTTGTCACAAAGTTTGGCATTTTTTATAAAATCAAACGCGCGTCATTGAAACTCACAATATGTAAATAGCATGTCATTTACATCATACCTTGATGGGGAAAAATAGATCTTATATGTTAGAAGTACTAAATAAAAGTTATCGTGAAAATGAGACAGTCGTTCTCGAGAGAAAAGAGCATAAATGCGCATTTAGAGAGTTTTGGTCCGTTTAAAAATCTGTAAAAAATTGGGGTACTTAAAAGCATCGAGAGGCATCATATATTTCAAATTAGACACGAGAAAGTCAATATTGAGCAAGTTATGGCTGTTTTAAATTCAAATAAAACCGTTAACCCGTGCCGGTCCAGCTTTTGACCCGTGCCGGTCAATTTTCGTTAGCTGCGTATACCAAGGGTGTAAAAGGCCGAAAGATTATGCGGCAGATATTGAAACGGGGATTGTCAACATATTGTTTGATCTCTTAGAATCCGTTGAATCCTAAGCGATTGGGGTTGTTTAGATCACTTAACGAATGCTATGAAATGACCAGGATTTGAGTTTTTTCAAAGTTTATAATGGCTGCCAATGGGGGATTTTAGCAAAATATCCCGAAAATTAAATCATTAAAAGGCCGAAAGATCTATGGATGGATTTTCCTGATTTATATATCAAAACGAACTCTTCGTTGGGTGTAATAAGGATCCGTTGAATCCTAAGAAAATAAATGATTTGCTAAAAAGTTATTAAGATTTTAAATTTTGATGAAGACTGCTCTCAATTGAAATATTTGGACCATGAAATGTCGATTTACGCGCATGCGTTGTGACGTTATTTCCATTATTCTACGCACGCCATGATGCTCGTCATCCCAAAGTACAATTGTGTGATGTCCATCGTTATCTAAGTGTGACTTGTGATGTTCAGTACTACCCGGGTACAAGTGAAAATATAACTGTATTGTGACATTCGTAGTTATCCTAGTCATCGTAGTTATCGTTTCACCAGAGACTGCAGCTTAGCTTGATATTCGTTATTACCAGAGTAGAACTATCGTGGAGATCGCTATTACCAGATTGCAGCGAACCGTGACATTGATCGTTATCATAGTGCAATATACATTGATGTTCGCCTTTCCCAGAATGAAGCTTTCCGTGACGGGCATCAATATCTGAGTGCAGCTATCGTAGTGATCGTCATTGGCGTATAAGTTTATTGCAGCTGTAGTAGTATTCCTTGGCTACGAACTTTACAGAGTAGTATACCAGTGTATCATTATACCTTTATAACTTACCAAATTGTAAAATGTTGTAATGGTTATTCTATAAAATTAATATATCATACTATTGTGCTCTTGTAATTTTGCCTTTTGTGAGATTTATCAAAACCTGAACCTGATAACTTGACAGCAACAAAGCACCAAAACTTCTGACTTATCTTTGGTGTCATATGACATCATGTGATGAATGAAGATGTGTCCTCCACAACGTTGATAATTGTGTCCGTTTCTGTTGGAGACCAGTGGAAAGATACTTACTGATGTGGTAGTCCATGAAGGCGGCCCTATTTATATTTGGAGTAGTATTACAGAGTTCTTTTGAGCAGTACTAGCGAGGTTGCACCCACGTCTGCACTTGGGGATGCCAAAGCATACTTTTAGAGTAATTTGAGCATTGGGACGGTAACAGGAAAACTCATCCCCTAGACAACTTAACCCTGAACAACTCATCCCCTAGACAACTCATCCCCTGGACAAATCATCCCCTAGACAACTCATCCCCTGGACAACTCATCCCCTGAATAACTCATTCCCTGGACAACTCATTCCCTGGACAACTCATCCTTTGGCATGTTTGAGTAATTTAATGTAATATTATTAATTCATATATTATTCAAATGATTTTTAAATCATATATCATATGAATCATATATTCCATGAACACTGGTACTCCACTCGATTATGTTGTAAACAGATTGTTTCGGTAACAAAATGTCAGAGCCTCAAAGGTACGATTTTTGTCTTTTCCTTATTTCTCCAGTAGTAGGCTAAATATCATATGTATAAGAAAATGTAAATGTGTACATGCGAACAAATAGTTCAGAAGACAACACGGTCGTCGATTTAGTAGAGAGGTTAAGCAAATACGGTTTTTCAAAACGTATACGTAAACGCAAAGTACATTGAATCAACATAGGATTGTATCGCTTTAGTCTACTTCAGATACCCGTTCAACTTCAAAGTTGCGTGTTTAGAACGGGAGATTTACATATTTCACGTTGCTATCAACGGGAATCATTATACTCATGTCTGTTGAATACTATCCTTGCAATTTTGATTTCGATGCAGAGTATAATTCTTTCTGAAGAAGATGATGTATGTTACGCATGATTTAACTCCAATAATCTTACGAAACGAGCTCGTTTAAAATATGTATTAGAAAACCAGCTATTGAACTTCATCAATGGCATACTATGTAATCATTACAAGCTATGGTGTAGTCTAAACAAACACTAGAGCTGAACGGCTATTTATGTGTGAACTCTACATGTATTTGTATAGGGGCCATTGATACGTTTAAGTTGCGTTCTGGATTTTATACGGTAGCTTAACCTCTCCAATATCGCACTTTTGTTACGTAAACAAAACTTCAAAAATGGTTAAGATCTGCACTTCTAACTCTTTCCATTTATATAAAAATAGTGACTGGGGTATTAAAGCGACGATTCTGTTGTCTTCTGAGAACTAGTGAACAAAGACTTTCTCGAGGGGAAATCGGGGGATGAGTTGTCCAGGGATGAGTTGTCTGTAAGCCATTTGGACCTACATCAAGTGTCACATGCGAACAGAGTGTTTTGGGGCAACATTCAACTGCAGAATGATCAGAAAGATAAGAAAGTCGCGATCGATAACCACTACATACCTCTGCCAAGTAGAACATAATTTGATGACGTGGTTGGCGTCTGTCCCTCGTTATATTTTATATTGCCCTTAACCAAACGTTCATATCCTTGCAGAAGATTTAACAACATTTGGCCACCTAAAACATAAAATTAAACTTGTAAACTAAAGCAATGTTAAAGTACCATCAATCTGACCTGCGAAACATTGTAGCATGAGATGTATTACAAAAAATACTTTGATTTAATGAAACAAACAAGTCTAAAAGGACATAAATCCTGTTACACATGTTTGATAAATGATATCGCGTAAATTGTATGTAATGGATATATATTAAATAAATAAAAAAATATCAGTAAAATTCAGTTTACGTGATTCACTTGAAGCATCTTTCTTCTCGTTGAGGTTATCTCGAATATGAGCGGCTCCATTGGCCTTCATATTTTGTCTATAGATGACACTCAGCGCCTCTAGTTCATGGCTTGTCAATTTGACCACTTCTTCAATAAGTCCATCTGGTATATAATGTTTATTTTTTATTGAGTTGTCTACGATTTTGCTTATAAATTGTGCTCTATCATCTAGCTCTTTGTTGGACGACGGGGGTGGTAAATTTAGGAATCTCTTTATATTTCTTAACAGACTAAACACGTTATCAAGAATGTCAGGCTTATCTAAAGCTAACATCATTATCTTAAATTTACGTTCATCACTCAGCTGTTCCGTTGAATCTTCATCGAAAGCATGTCTGCTATCTGGAACGTACAGTAAATGTAAATTGATAAATATAAGGCCCGTAGCCAGGGGGGGGGGCTGAGGGAGCTGAAGCTCCCCCTGGCCAGAAATGATTTCAAAATCATGCAGTTTTTCACAATTTTGAGCACTTTTCGCATGATTTTTAGCCAAAACTGTCAAAAAAGCTTCCCCCTGGAAAAAGCTCCCCCTCCTGGTAAAACCTGGCTACGGGTATGAATATGATCATGTATAGTAATAATAGGTTGTTTAATAGGCAATTACGATTACTAAAAAGCAGTAGAAAGTGTTGCGCAGATTTTTAGGAAACATAATATTTGGAAAAAAGGTCTTCTTTGTGTGAATGCACTTTTTGCAAATATACCGTTTCGAATTCGAATTTTGACACGGCACACTTTCATTTGTTAAAACACGGGCAGGTTATTACAGGTATAACGTGATGCATGTTCTCTTCATTTCGATATGGTATCTGAGTTCGAAAAACAATTATGCACCGTTGGAATATCATCATACAAATATATTTTGTGTCACGAGCTAGATTCGCACCTTGAAAAATTAAATACAATATCATTAAGTTTTGCAAATACTACCTATTTTCTAATCATTTATTCACTGTGCGAGAGATGCCAACGACATATTTGAGATACTACACATTTTAATATTAGCCCTATTTACACTACATGCGACATTCCAAGACGTCTTGGCTAAAACGTTTTAGAAAAAAGTATGTTGAGTTTACACCATCATTTTTAAGACGTCTTACGAAATATGATTGAGTCTTAGAGATATTTAGGTATACATGTACAATGAAAAAAGCAGTTCAGTACTGGTTGAAGGACGGTTCAGTCAATATAGCTATCCTTTCCCGCTTCTATTGTGCTAAAGAATGCATCGGTTTCACAAAAATATGTCCTAAAGACAGCATTTTTAAAAGCGTGAAAGAGAGCAGGAAGATTTTATGCATAAATTAGGATTATGATAGATCGCCAGGCAAATAAGTTCTTCTTAATAATTTTGGGATAATGTTGGGAACAAGCAATAAGACAAAAGAATGGACCATGCGACATATGTAGATAGAAAGTTTCAAATGTTTCGTTCGGCCCAACGCAAAACCCGGGCTAAGAGCTCTTATCTAAAACCGATGAATTTTTTCTCGCTTGTAAAACGTTTTAACGCTAAGACGTCTTGGCTATGACTGGGGTCCTAAAACGTTTTAGATAAGCGCTCTTAGCCGAGAGCTCTTGCATTTATTTGTTCAGGATATCGAGCAAATAAATGCGTGTCAATTTACACTGTAATATCCTACATACTTATATTTCAAGGGTAGTTTTGAAGAATCATCAAGAAAATCCATGTTTTCAAATGGATTCATCCTTGTCAAAGAACGTGAATGAGGATATGCCGTTTGAAAAACTCACAACATGTTTCAAGTTCTTACAATTCTTGGTTAAAAAAAATAATTTGAAAGTTGTGATTTCGAATGTAATATCCTACTCAATGAAATTTGTTGATATTTGTGAATTTTTTCTTTCAAAATGCACATTGCTGGATAACAGAACCTTGCCATGTTCGAGATGCACGAAAAGTATTTTGTTAATACTTGACGTCGTACGGATATTTGGATGTGATTGACGTTTTCGTTAATCTCCTATTACTGTAATTTCCAACTTAATTTTTGGAAGCCAAATGCGATTGTCACGAATTGATATTTAAGTCACACGTTGATGCATACATCATGTGTGTACATTAGCTGTCGAATACATCCCTTAGGAAAAATGTTATGGGTATTACCCATAGTGTTATCCATAATAATGGTAATTCATTAGGTCATTTATGGTTTATATGTACATTACCCATAGTGTTACCCATAATGTTACCCATAACCAATAGTTATGGTTAAAACTTACATGTTAAAACAATGATATACTCATAATTTAACATAGTAGATGTTATGGGCTAAGCATGGTTAGTGACAGTGTGTTAATTATGTGTTACCCATAAAGTATGGGTACTCTACATTTTCAGCTTTGTTTATATTTTTCTGAAGGGGGAGACACTATTCTTAATAGAATGCTCAACAATATGACAAATATTTTCATATTATTTATACCAGTTCAATATATTTCTATATTGTTAGGACCAGGATTACAAACTAAATTATATGTGCATGTTTTGCATTGTAAACTAAAAAAGTCCTTAAATACTTAATGGTGTGTATATTGAGATATATAATATATATTTCAGATAATTCCCAAAAACTCATTAAACTATTGAACTGTTGTGTTTCTGATGATTGGATACCAATAACCTTTCTTTCAGTATAATTTTATTGAAACAAGCAGTACATGTTTTATGAATATTAACAATTCTTATTATTCAATTTTTAAATTTGGCAGTGTTTGCACAAATTCACCTTTCAATAATTTAGAAATATTTTTTTGACTCGATCGACCCTGGCTGTAACCCTGACTGGTAAAATATGTGTACATTATGTACAGGTTATGTGCATGTTATTTGTAGATAATGATGGTGTAATGGGGCATTATGTATTAGCAATGTGCAAGTCATGTGTAGGTTATAGGCAAATTATGTGTCCCCATAACATACACATAAATTCCAAATAACCTGCACATAATGGCATAACGTAAAACCATTATTTACCCATTATTACCCATTATAAGTCATTACCAAAAAACTAAAGTTGGATACGGCATCAATTACCCTTATGTTATGGGTACTTGGGGGCTATGGGTAACAATATGGGTAGTTATGTGAAACCTAAGGGTTACCCATAACATTTTTCCTAAGGGATGCCAACTTACATTTATATAAATATCCACAATTATCTCAAATCATCAATTCTCGAAACGGTTTATTATTTAACCCGGTGAATTGAATGTTTCATTTTGATTCATAATTATGGTATCGGATTGAGTATAATATAAGTCGAGGCTTAAACAAAGCAATACAATTACGTGAAACCTTTTGTGAAAATTCGAACGATTTTTCAAGAATCCTCCTTCAAAGTGATACCAAAGTGCTCCCCGGGAGTGAAAATTTCGTCATGTGTAATCAAAATAATACAGCGGGTGATATGAATTTTTGTTTGAGTTTATAGTTTACATCTATAAATTGAAAAACATATCGCCTAATTGAGAGGTACGTGCATATTTTGGCGATCTATCATTATAAAGGGCTAAATATTGTGCAAAAACAGGAGTTGACACGCTTACATTTGAAAATGAAATTTTCTACATAATCGTCGACTCATGTTTAAAAGTCATGAAAACAAGGTTGAACACAAAACATTGACCCAGTTACTGTCTATTCAACATGGGTTCACTAAGGGAAATATTATTAATGACTTAAATCGTTTACAGTTAAGTTGTAAGAAACTTATCAATTTAGAAATGCAAATTGTTCAATTTTGTTTTTCAATTATAAAAAATGGCACCTGTAGAGAACAACGTTTTCAATTTTTTTTAAAACGGAGATATTTACTTATGCAATATTCATTGGCATGCGTCAGGAAATAAATACGAAGAATATGCATTAGATTCACTATTTTGTTCCTGAAGGAGTTTGTTAAGGAGCGGTATATCTTAACGTACTTTTATCATCCCGAACTCAAACATTTCGAATACTTATTTCGAGAACGCTTTGTTGAGAATGGATTCGAGATGTACTCAAAATTAGTGTGTTAAAATGTGTATTATCATCTAAATAACCATCTCACAAATTATTTTGAAAATCAAAGATGTACGATTTTTGGGATTTTTATTTTCGAATGTTGACTTACTTACTTGGCTTGACTGTATAGTGAAATATTGGACCGAAGGGCGAAGGTCCAAGGTCCAATATTTCACTATATTGCTCGCAGAAATGACGTTATTAGTATTATTACCACCGTTTACGACATAGCAGAAATAGCGAGAAAATCTTACGCACTGAACCATATCTAATTTCCCGGGGAAAAATTGCCGGTCCAGAATATATTCTAGACCGGTCCATATGGACCACCACTATGACCTCACACTTTCCTCAGGTCGATATAGTAAAATTAATGCCTTTTAAACTAGCACTAAAACCCCTAGAACTGGCCCGGCAAGGTGGTAATAATAGGAATAAACCCATATTCAATTCCGACCAGTAAATAAGCTTTTTATTCCATGATTTCCTAACTCTCTTCATGAAATTTTAAGGTCCATAGCATATCTAAATTTTGTTCGAAGCAAAATCAGAAATCCGTTAAATTAGTAGTCTACATAATATCCGAAGACTAAACTTTATGACATTTTGAATTACTAGTATAGAAACTGTTTGTATCAGAGAATGATGATGGAATTACTATTCGCCTGTGTTTAATAGGCTAAAACATGCCTTCATACTCCTTACGTTTCAAAATCTCTTAATTTTTAAATGGGATTTGAATACCCTTTTCGTGAGCAGGATGTGAAGGTGGATTCATTTCGAGAGCGGGATTGGGCGAAACAATACGATTTTCTCTAAGTACTAGTATCATGGGATTTTAAATCACTAGTTACTAATGAATATGTACTTGATTCCTTCGGAGCACGTTCCTTCAAAGTCATAAAAAATGCCCGGGTTACTCACTATCAGTGTGCTTGAGAAAGCCAGGGACCACTCCGGTTGCTCGTTCAAGTTCACGTTTTACAAGCTGATAGACCAGTTGAGAAAGACCATCGGGCCATTTTATATCCTTATCCTTAGCTTCAAAGAAACTGTCAACCATCTGGCTCAACAGACCTACTGTTGCTTCTCTGTCTTCAACAACCTCTGAATTCAGTAACTGCAGAAACAAGTCTCCGAGTCTATCAGACATAACACGCCAACCGATCTCACCATCATTGACATCTATAAAATGAAATTATCACGCAATTCTACCAATCGTCATATGTTAACCAATTGAAGTCAAAGTAAAATACAGTTGGATTAAATGCGTGTAAATAGGACATCATGTGCTAAATTAAAACGAAGCTGCCAGATGAGAGTATGATTAACATAATTTAAAAACAATTTTATTTTAATCGCACAACAGATCATTTCATTGAACCCGTACCCTTTCTTATATCATTTATAGAAAATGACATCATTCGGTATGCTCATATTGAGAAATCAATTATACCGAAACAAGAAATATTACTTTTAGAGCAATACTTACCTGTTATGTCAACAAGGCTTGCAAAATGCAAATGTGTGACATATCCCAGTTTTGCTGTCATTCTCTGTTGATTTCCAGGTTCGTCATCAGCTGCAATTTTGTAGGGCTCATCAGTTCTAGCAGAGTATATAGCGACATCTATACCATACAGTTTGGCAAAGGCATACAGCATAACATTATCCCCCCATACACCCGGTCTCACCATATATTCATTGGTATACCAGGACAATTGTCGAGTATGGAGATCTTCATTTGAGTCAAAGGTTGCTGCAAATTGCCGCCACTCTTTATTATCTCCCGAATCAAAAAGAGTCATAACATGTTCACCATTGGGCTAAAAATAAAAAATGAATTGCAGTTGGATTAATTGTTGGAAGGCGTTTCAATTGAAAGTAAACTTGAGAGTTCATGCACTTTCAAGAAAAAATGCACGCGTGTCATTAAATGAAGGAAATAGGAACATTTAACCCACAGACGCCACTGGAATTCATGAAAACGGGATAAATTAACGTTTAGAAAAACGTTTGCCTATTTTGTGAAAAATCCATTCTCACCAAGATTGGATGTACTTGAATGCATTCCAATAGTAATCGTCGCAGATCATTTGCAGACACTTGAGCTGATGTTAGGCGTTTCAACTGATCGCTAAGAGCTTCGAAGAGACAATCACCCATTCCACTATTCTCAACGATTGCCAAACCGTGCCTCTCCAATACTGAATCAAGTGGGTGGTCTAAGGTCAAGTGCTCGCTACTCGGTAGAATCTCAAATGGAACTAGAATCAAAATACATCTTAAAAGTTAATTAGCAAGACTATGAATAGCTGGCTCTTGACTTTGATAATAAGCTCGGTGCCTCTCTTTGGGGTTTGGGGGTGTATTAGGGGTCTTGGAAATTCATATACAATAGTTTTCAACTCGCTTATACCATATACAATATTGTGTCACCCCTTTTATACCATATACAATATTTTTCACAACTCTTATACCATATATGATATTTTACAAAAGTTCAGGTGAAATACAATGTACGATAATTTTGAAACTTCTGTTGGATATTCGTAAGGAAATACATGAACTACAGTAATTGTATTATTATCAGGCAAATAGAGTATAAGCTGCACATACAGACTACAATGATTTCATTTATTACATTATGAATAAGACAGCATTTGGGTACATCTGTGCACGGGCGTAGCCAGCTTTCAGTCAGGGGGGTCCGAACGCCAAACAATTGTTGGTTTCCAGTGAGGGGTGAGATTGTGGAATAAGGTTTATTTTGAATTTGACGAAAACTTATTCAACATCCTTCAAAATTGAGGTAGAAGCTTCAAACAAAAAGCGTTTTTAAAGTTCCTTTCTTCTTCTTTTTCATGTTTTATTGATTATAGGGGAGGGGGGGGGTTGCACCCATCGCACCCCTGGCTACATCAATGTCTGTGACCACATTTTATTTTCGGGTATACATGTTGATTTAAAACATATTTATGGTATAAGATTCATGACTTCTCTTTACGACCTACTTTGACCATAACACTGTCAGGTAGCTATTAGTAGTCAAGATTCACAATGCACCAGAATACTGTTATTTTGTATAACAGTCACCTGGAAAACGTTGAGTATTTAAAACAGTTTCAGAAACAAAGGACTTCCATGTAAAAAATTCAGATTGAAATAAAGGAAAGATGACGTGATTGTTTGAAGATTTGAAACAGAAACACTTTAGGATTTCAGATAAGACAGCCTTAAAACAGTCTATAAGTCAAACAAAAGTGTGCCAAAATTAAGTAAATTTTCATAATAGTCAAATAACTTGTTTTACCAATGATTTCAAGGCAAAGATTTATTGATGAGAATGAAAACTACTCTATGTAACTAGAAGTAACTTTCTTTGAAAGGACAACGGACAGTATCGCAACAGATTTCAATCGTATGTTAGATTTTGGCTATTTTCTAAGGATTTAAACAGGTGCATATTTTAGGCCAATGCATTAACTCCAGGACAAGCAGTAATAGAGATGATAAAATAATTTGGACTTTGAGACAGGGAAGGTGCAAAGACCCCATCAACGTGTTCTTCTTTGATGTTGTCCTTATTTCCAGCCCTTTCCACATCTGTTTTTTCAATGTTTGCGTTTTAAGACACGTTAACATCTTTAAGGGGAAATTATAATTCATGCAGGGATTTTAAAGATATCAATTTTGGGCGACCAAAATTAAGCTGAAAACAATGGAGAACATGAGTTTTCCCCATGGAAAAAACACTGGAAATATTGTTTTCCATTTTATCCAAAATGAATCATATTTTTCTTCAAAGAGGTTAACTGTGTTTAAAAATGCAACATATTGGATGCATCAAACATTGAAAAAAAACATGAGTGGAAAGGGCTAAAAATCAGGTCAACATTTCAGAAAAGCGTTTTTAGGGTGTTTGAACCTTCCCTGTCTCAAAGTCTGAATTATTTTATCACCTCTATGAGTGCTTGATCTGGAGTTGATGCATTGGTCTAACATATGTTACTATTTAAATCCCTGATAAATAGCATATGATAGTTTGAAATCTGTTGCAATACCTTCCGTGGTCCTTTCCCTGATAACTTTTAAGACCACATAAATCCTCTTACTATATTAGCATATCTAGTGATGCTTTTATTAACACATACACGGTCACATCACTTTATACTCAATATTTTAATGATTTACCCACATACCCCGAAACAAGTAGCCATAGTGACCATATTCTTCATCAAAGTTGAGAAAACTCAATGACATTTGGCATTCTTATTCGAGACTGTATTTAACACCACATGTAGAAAATTTGAATGAAAAAGGCACAAAACTCTTAATGTAAGAGTGATTTTCTCAACATTTATGGATCGACCTGGAATGTGGAAATAGAGACTTATTTTCCATGTTTTTCTAACACGGTTACAGAATCAGCACAATGGGGAATTTTTAGGATACAATTTCTTCATAATTAGTCTTTTTAAATTCTTTTTTTTAACATACAGGGTGACAAAAAACAACGACACTCCCCTCTACAGCAAAAAGTCCTCAATGTTCCATATGATACTTTGTTTGCTGCTTTGTTACTGGTTAAAGGTAAAATTTTCAGAAAGTGGAATATGAAAGAATTAGCCCAGATTTCTACTAAACTGAACATATGGGTTCAGTTCTGAAAAACAGGGTATTGAGCTGAGGGACAAAGAGCCTGTTCAAGAGGCTCTTACACTGCTCTTGAAAAAACAGATACAGTAAGGATATATTTCCGAAGAAATTGAGGAAAGTGCTAAGAGGATTATGCTATATCACACCTTTATCTAGATTTTTATTGAAATCATATCCGTCCAGATAAGCTGCTGTTTGAGCAGCAGCTGGTGACCATACCAACTACTGAGGATGTGCTGTAATTCTGTAAAATTATATGATATAAAGCTGAAATTTCTCAGGTAACTCTAGAATCAAATTGTCTTTAAAACGCGATATGACACACCATGTAACATTAGCACATTAGCACTTTTGTAGAGGGGATGTCGTTGTTTTTTATATTTAACCTACCGTTTCCTTGAGAAACCATATGCAATATCTTTTCTCTTTTACCAAATTTTGCCCCCTCTTATACAATATACAATAAATTTTCACCCTCTTATACGATATACAATATCTCTATACACCCCCCTCTCTTGCAAATTTAACTTCGCTCTCCGCCATTTACCCATGTTATAAACAAATAAAAACATACTTTTCGTGTCTTTAGGTCCAGGGTTGAGCTGAACCCCTCCTATGATTAGTAGCAAAGTTACAATAACCAACAGCAGGGGAAACACTCTCAGCCCTTTGGTGGTCCTTATGTTGCTCTCCACTGATGAAGTATTCGGCCGTTTGGGTGATCTCTTTAAAGAATGGATTCGAGTATTCTCGGTAGACGGTTTGGAATGAGAAAACCGATAGCAGCCGATAGCAGCACGCCATTGCTCCAATGAGTCTCCCATTGTAAGCTGACAGAATGACAAAACGTAATTTTAATGCGGTGAAATGAAAAAAAAACATTCGCGATGGCACAAAAAATCAAAAGTATAATACATTGGAAGCAAGATTTTTTGAATAAATGTTCCAATGCCATGAAATAAGTATCCATCATTTCCGTTTAATATACTTGTATTTTGTGACTGTGACCATAACTGTTTAGTGGATTGTGTGTTTTTATTAGCATCAAAATAACGTCGGCATTTAATAAAAAAAACATTGCCAAATAACCATGAAAACAAATTATCTTTGAAAAGTACTTACCTTACTCACAAGATATCTAAAATTTCTATATCACCAACATCATATTATTCTTGGTATTGGCTATGTTTTGTGACATATGATATTCTCTGGTATAGGTTGTATGGTACTACCTATATAACATACGGGGCAACCATCATTCTTTTACGTATATACTTTTGATGACATCTATAGTACTTAACGACAGTGAGTGCCTGGTAGGTCTAGTTGAATATTAACTTCTTATTTCCACTGGCAGCAGATTTTATGAATTAGTTAGATTAAACAGAGTACTTAAAAATATTTACATTTGACTATGATCGGTGATAGTACCTCGAACAGGTTGAATAATGCAGTTGTGTTTTTACTCTATAGTTGCAATAGAACAACCATTCTCATTAAAATTTTCATGTTTTATTCTGGAGACAATTTTCAAAATGGATTTTTAACGAAATTCCTAATTTAATAATTTTGATAGGCTTTTTTCAAAAACACTCCACTGTCAATGAAAAACAGATTTTTGCTTGAACAATTGAACTTTTACGTCATTTCAAAGATTGTCTAGCCTTTAAATTTTTGGCCGCCTAAAGTCTTTCAACATGTATTTGATGCCATATTAATTACGGCTGATTTTTGTAATTCAATTTTGTCATATTCAATAATATTATTACTATGCATTAGGCCAATGAAAAGGTTGTCACTCTGGGTCACGTTTCCTCTGTTAATGCGCCTTTCGCATCTGGGCTTTTCCGCCACCGTCACTCAGCATGCAACCCTGTGGCACGTATTGTACTATGGTTTGAATATGTTAAGTTTCCCTGACAATTTTATGACAAAATTTGACACAGCTATATTAACATCTCTGAAGGATCTAATGCGGTGTAAAAGTAATAGTAGTCTCCCGGAAGCACGGTCCTACCTCATGTTCTCATTTCAAAAGGTTTAATATTTGTTCATGAGATTTTCGTATAACATTCAACCATATCTGTTAAATTGAGAAATACTCTTCAACTTTGAAAAACAAAAAATGGTAGGCAAAGTAAGTGAATCACGTGCATTTTCTCTTACCTGCTTTTATATGCCATTCTTTCTTATAGTCCGAAGAGGTGTTCCAAGTACTCTCTTTGTATTTGATGCAGTGGCTGACGTAAAACCCTGGAGCCATCAAGGAAACTTATTCGAAGGGACATTTTGAATTGTTCTTGAACGTTCTACATTATTCCATACACATCCACATCTGATTCATCGTTTTCTATTTGGTCTTCCCTCCAAGGACATGGAATTTAATGGCAGCCTTGATCTGTGGATGCTCTTTTGGAATTTCAGCCATTTTAGAATATCACAAGTGAGACTGTTTGATTTGTAAGTTTTATGAACAACTTAAATATATTAGGTAAATAAGCCTTCGTTTGTAAACTTTGGTAGGGTCCTGTAATGGTAAAATGTGTGACGTAGAGTGTCCCGCATACCCAAGAGTCAAGTAACCATATACTGACCGTCATTTCTGACCAAACAAATTATGATATTTTACGAATCAATAACCAGATATGTGGATATCATGTAAACATTGTAAAAGTGTAACATGGCATCAGTTGCATTGGTTTCATTATCAGCCCCCAGTATTATCATATAGAGCTTGAGTAACGCTTACTCTTTACACAGGGAGATGTGCTACAAATATAGTACAAAATTAGTACTGAATTAGCACTCTGAAAAGTGCACTCATAAGCATTCATGTCATGAGTGCTAATTTAGTACCAATTCATGATATGAGTACTCATTTAGTGCTGAAAAACAATTTTATTAGTACTATTTTATCACTCACGATCTGAGTACTCATTTAGCGCTAAAAAACAGTTTAATCGGATTAAACTCGTATCCGTTGACAAGAAGATCGACCTCCTCAATCTAGGCTTAATCTAGGGAACGCTTCACACAATGAGACCAAGAGCAACCCGTTTTTATTGGCCTTATGCACTTTATTGAATATGACTAAATTGAAAACAATAATCAGTCATAATTGTTAATATGGCAACAAGCATATCTGGAAAGACGTGCGAGCATTCAATGGCCATACAATATTTGAAATGACGTTAAAAGTTCAATTGTTTAAGCAAAAACCTGTATTTTATTGACAGTGAAGTATTTTTGAAAAAGCCTCTCAAAATCACAAAATTAAAAATGTTGATAAAATATTTATTTTGCAAGTCGGAAATTGTCTCTAGACTAAATCTTGAATTTCAATAAAAATGGTTGTTTTATTGCAATTATAGAGTAAAAACACGACTGCATCATTCTACCTGAGCCTGTGATCTTTACAATTATTCAGTTGTGTTATCTAGTGACCATTGTCTATCGCGTACTGTTATCATTGCTTTTTAAGATGAATATTAAGCAAGTCCAAGGACACCATGCAAAAGATTAAGTGTCGTTGGCCAGTACTCCACAAAAACTGACAATACCGATTGAAAGTACTATTTTTGTTGGAACTAGGGTCCATACGGCTCATTTTAACCCTGTTAAACTATTAGTATACATCTAAAACAATGAAAGAGTTATGGACTTATTTTCGCTATATCATCGACATGTTGTTTCTATGGTAGCTATGAGTGTTCTCAGTAATTGCTAAACTACAAGTCGCCAGTGTAGCGAAAGATAAGCGGGAAAAAAATTAAAAATACAAAAATCGTCACAATATAGCGATAAATCATGGTCATTTGAAATAGACCAATGAAACTTAATATAATGAAAGAACATTGGACAATGTAAACAATTACTTTTTTTGCAATGTTAAATTTAGTAAAACCTACCTTTCAAGACCCGATTTATATATGCAAAATTCCCGATTTTCAGATTTCTCGTCCAGATTTTTATTTCAACGTGCAATAAATTGTTTTTTATTGTAAAACTAAGACAAAACGATAAAGATCTACGACCAAGGCTTTTTGTGTCCAAAACAACTAGAATCATTTTGACTTTGGATTATTGTCGGGGACCCATAGGCATGTAAAAAGTTGATGAACCCGCAAAGCAGGGTCAAAAGTGCTGAGTCAGCAAGTTCTATCATTTTTGAGTCAGAGTTTGACCATATGTTAGAAACTTTTTAATACATAATTTGAGGATGCTGCAATTATAATGAAACGTTGTAAATATATGAATAAGCAATGATTTCTGAAAGTTTGGGTCTTATCCAATAAGATTTGATAGCGAGATGGGAGAAGTATAAAAGTAGGGGCCTATGGTATGTGTATCATTACAGAAAAATGTATTATTCTAAATAAATTCGAACACTTTATATGACATCATAATATTCTAAACATATTAATTATAAACCATTTTAAACGTTCACAGCTTATCCTTGTCATACATCATAAAACCGTTGAGGGTATGTGTGGTCAGCAATAGGAAATTCATGTATGTGTATTAATATAATTTTTCAAAATTGTATTTCAAGTGCCATTCTATCCTTTTGCTGTTCATGTACATTTAATGTTTAGAATGAATCATGAATGATAACATGTTTTACTATGCAGCTCATTAAAATACTCAAATCTGATTGGTTGAGAGCTGCAGGGTATATTGCCATACGTGGCAGCAAGATCTCGTTTTATCCAGTATTGAAGCAACGAGATCTTAAACCGTCCAGTGTGCCAGAAAACCTATCCTCGAAAAAAATGCTAGGCTCGGCTTCTGTTTTAGTAGACCCATTCTTTGAAATAAAGTATTTCTTGACAATTTAACACCATCTTTTATTTATCTACAGTAAATTAATGGTAGGAATATGATATTAACCAAGGGAGGTGCATAATAAAACAGAATACATATTCTCCAAAAATATAGGCTTCTCGCCTCTCGTAGTATTTTTTCCTCGGATACGTATTCTGGTATTCTGGTATTGGGCATAGTGGGACTTTTGATCATGGTATATGTCAGCTAACAAAAGGTTTTGTATAAAAAACCTCCTACCTCACACCCACCTACCCACCTACGTGGAACATGATACAGTCATTGAAGGGTTCAATTTTAAATATTATTAAATCTCAAAATAGCTAAAATTTTTAACATTTATACAATTTCGGCTTTATTTTATGACTAGACAGATACATAAATAAAGGCATATGGATGTATTTTAATGTGTAATGACCCGGGGGCGCCCCAGGGAAATAAATAACTAACGACTGCAAGCATAGGTTTAACAAGCCAGATAAAGAAATTGAAAGAAGTGTGATAAATTCGATGCCCCGAGTGGAAAAACCCAGCTGGGATGTAGCAACAACTTTCTATCAAGGGACCTTACAAGTACATCTATAATTCATCATAAACTAAGATTCAATAAACTAAGAACTAAGACAGCGATACAGCAATTGCAAACCACCAAGGAATGCTTAGGTAATGGGCAAGAAAATGCCTTTATGGATTGGATACGGAGGTTTAGAAATTCTATTTTCATTTTGCATTCTATTTGGGGGAAAATACTTTGTAGGAGATATAGAGCCCTGACTTAGTCCCACTGGCCTAATGTTGTGTAAATGATAAGATAGGTGCATGGACTGCACATTATAGTTGGATACATTGATTGTCACGTACAAGTTTCCACATCCACAGCTCTACGGTATCGAGACAAGTATATTTCAAATGTATGTAAGACTGTGGCTATAACGTATTAAACGCTAAAATTTTCACAGATTAATAATAAATATTTAATATATACATCCTGTAAATATTG